GGCGGCAAGGCGACTGCGTGAACCTGGTGCAGTGTGAGAGCCTGGAGGGTGAGTGGCGGCGGGGTGTCCCCCTCCCTCCTGTCACTGAGGGGAAGGCCCAGCGGGCGGGCTGAGGGGAAAGGCCGGTTGGTGTGAGGGTGGAGGGCCGGTGGGGAGGCGAGGGGCTGCGTGGCAGTGGGGAAAAGAGCCGACGGCGGCGTTTTTGAGGTGCTTTCCCCTCTTCACCCTTTCGTCCTCCCCCTCCCGGCTGCTCTGTCCGAGCTCAGCTGACTCAGTTTCCCGGCCGTGTGATTGCAACAGCTGATATGGCCGGTTTGAGGAAGCTCCAGCTCCCAGTGCTTTCTTGAGGGGGGCCACGTAGCCGTGGTGCGTGTCCTGCGGTTGTTGGGAGCCTGACAGGTTTGTCAGGCTTTGCTGATGAGTCTTGTTTTGTGCTTTCACTCCCAGGAGACACAGGCAGCCTTTTTAAGGACAGAACTAAGGTTATCAGGGTAGTCTGTTTGTAACCTCGTAGTCCCAAGATGCTTCTAACCTAAGAATGAAAATACTCTGCATGTTCTAATAAGAATGCAGAATAACATCTTGCTTGCCTGAACATTGTCTCTGCCAAGTACTTAGTGTCCCAGAGAATCAGTCCTGAAGTAGCTGTGGGATTCAAGAGTTCTCGCATACTTCTACATGTTTGGAGTTTTTTCCCTTTCATTTTCACACCTGTCTTGGTTCTAATGACACACTCATTTTGTGGAGGGGGGAGGTGTTTTTGTCAGATTCTTTTATTTCCTTGCAATATGCTGTATACTCACCCAGGGAGGTGGTGGAGTCACCACCCCTGGAGGTATTTAACAGATGGGTAGATATGGTGCTGAGGGACATGGTTTAGTGGGGGGTTGGCAGTGCTGGGTTAATGGTCGGACTTGATGATTCTAAACGTCTTTTCCGACCTAAATGATTCTATGATCTAACTTAATCCCTGATACTTGTGGTCAGTTTTTGAGGAGACGGGGTCATCTAGGACAGTACCTGCTGTTATTGAAGGATTGCTAGTGGAAAAATTCCAGTGCAGAGCTAAGTAAATTCACTGGTGAATTACCCTTCACCTGTAATCTTGAGTTCTGTTTCAAGGCTAATGCCAACTTCCAGCCATTGTCCGTTGTCCCTTTTCTAGATCAGTGTGTACAAACCTGGAGAGCTGCGAAGGTTTTGCTCTCTGATACTTGTTACCTGTGGTCAGCTCATCGTCTTAATTAGTCAGTGCTAAACTGTTCCTCTGTGTCAGTGACCTGCTTATCAATTTTCATGCCTTGGTGTCCAGAACCTGGATCACAGAGATCAAAACCAGGTCTTTACTGAAATAGGCGAGAAACATATGTGTCCAGAGATGTCAGTTGTTTTTGTCAATGGGACTACAATTACTGGATTTTTCTTTCTTCTAAAAATACTAGTTAAGCATCAGCTTTATCTTGATGATTGTTGCTGACTGATTGAAATTAATATTGACTATCTAGAGGGCTCCTTGGCCAACTGAACCCTGGATGCAAGTTACCTGGAGCTGCTCACAGAAACATTAAACAGCAGAATGGGAAGAGAATGCTGTGATGTACCTCATTCTCTACCTTAAAAATACCCAGGATATTTTTACTTAGGACAGAAGCCCCTTTTCAGCCAGACT